AGATACTAGGCCCTCGGCAAGACCCCTAGAGGTGTAGATGTAGGATTGGATTCCAGGGCTTGGTGAGGCCCCAGGGCAAGGGAGAGAGGTGTTGCTGATGGTGGTCAGATATTGCTGGTTTGGTGGTCATTTTAAAATGTTCCTATCAGGGATGCATATGGAAGTAGTTATGGGTGAAATGCATGATATCTTGAATTTGTATTAAAATACTCTATCAAAAAAGGTGGAAGGGCTAGATGAAATAATATTAATAAAAATTGTTGTAGCTGGGTGATGATTGTAAGACAGTTTATTACACTATTGTTCCTACTTTTGTGTATATTTAAAAAATAATAAAACATCAAATGGAAATGCTAAAAAAATTGCTGCTACTTCTGTTCACCTGCTTTCTCTCTCAGCTATCATATCACTGCATTGGGGCAGTCCCTGTCCCTGGGAACATCATAAGGGTTGGGATTGGAGTTTGATCATCTCTGTGTTCCAAGTACCCTGCCCGAGGGCTGGCAAATGGCAGGTGCTCAATAAGTGGATGATAGATGGATGGGTGAATGGATGGATAATAGATGGCTGTTTTAAGAGTGAGAGTCTCTCCAGGCTACCCTGCTCCACAAATCAAGACACCTCTGTTCTCAACAATAGTTGCTGTACAACCAGGGCTGTGCTGGGTGGGGCTGGCTGGTGGGGCGTGTTGCCTCATATGGCTAGATCTGAACCCAGGAAAATGTCTGACATGGGACTAGTTTGTCTTCGAGGCCCTTACTCACCTCCTCTCAGCTCTGTCCCCTGTCTATGGTCTTTTCTCTCCCTTAGGTTGCTATGCTCTTACTTTTTCTCTCTTATTAGAACATCTCAGGAAAGGACGAGAAAGAATATTCCATCTAAAATGTGAATGATCAATAACATGTAACCATGCCCCTTCCTGGAAGATTTTTGCATTTAAATAAGAGACAAGACCTATGTTAAAAGGATGGACAAATGGTAACATTGTGGGCTCTGATCGGTCCTTAGGGAAGTTGTAGGAAGTGAAAAAGTATTCCCGGGCCCTGAAATTATGTTCTATTCACAACCATACACTCCACTTAACACACAGTGTCATTCCTAAGCTAAGAATCAGGATAGGTGAGCTGAGATAAACAACTAAAGGCAAGAACAATATCATCCCTCCCATGTTCCCCCAGGATCATGGTACAGATAGAAAGGCAAATTTTTATTCCTAAATAGAAAATACCTTTCTGTCCACTTCCTGCTCCGCATGACCCACCAGGGACTGCAGCTGGAGTGACTGCCTCCTCGTAACCCCAGCAGTCCTCACTGTTCCCTCTCTGTGGGTACCCCACAGCTGGACCAGCACAGGCACCCTCCTAGCCCAGGAGACCTCACAGATACAATCCCAATACCCAGGGACAATCCTAGGTAAAAAGAATGTCCTCAATTCTGTCTTCAGCTCTCTTAGTCTCGCCATTCAGTGACCTTATTCATTCTCAAACCTAGTGGCATTATGCTGTCTCCCTCCCCACATCCAACCTTCCTCTCTGAAGATAGTTGGAAAACTTATTCATATTAAGGTTTGGATAGCTAAAAGGCTTCCTTCATAACTCCTCCCAGAAGTATTTGCATTTTACAAGGTACTAGGCATTAAGCCGAAGGCAGGAAGCTCTCCCAGTCTTCATGATCTTCATAATGCAGGGGACTTCAAGGTGCTTTTAAAAAACCGTACCAAGTGTATTATTTATTGCTGCATAGCAAGTTATCATAAACTCAGCAGCGTACAACAACAGCCATTTATTTTCTCACAGTTCTGTAGGTCAGTAGTCTGGGCACAGTTCAACTGGGTTCTCTCCTTGGGATCTCACTGGGCCAAAATCAAGGCACCACTCTCACATAAGGCTTGGGGTCCTCTTCCAAGCACACAGTTGTTGGCAGAATTCAGTTCCTTGAAATTAGAAGACTGAGGACTTCAGTTACTAGTCCTTGGCCGCGTGGCCCTTTTAACAACAGGCGAGAGTCTCTCTGATGCTTTTACTTTCTTTTAAAGGGTTCACCTGATTGGGGTAGGCCAACCAGGATGACCTCCCTTTTGATTAACTGAGTGACAACTGATTGGTAACCTAATCAAAGGCGTGATCTCTCCTCATATTCTACAGTCCCGCCCACACTGACGGGTTAGGGTGTAGGGCAGGAATTTCTGGAACCCTCTTAGAATTCTGCCACTATGCCAATTGGACAGTTGCCTACGGGATCTTTACGTAGGTATGGCCCCATGTATCCAGGAGCTCCAGAGAAACACCTGCTTTCCAGGCATTCTGTTCCCACTTCTGCGGAAATCATGCCAAAAGGGAGAGAGCCTTGTAACTCGGCTGTTCTCCCTGAGAAACTCTGGCAGGTCCCCTGAGGCCTGGAATGGGGACTGGCCTTGGCTTCGGCAGGAAAATTCTCCAAGGGAACTGACCAAGTTAACTGCCTTCTTCTCTCTCAATTTCTGTCTCCCTCTTACCCCTCCCCAAATACCATGAGAAACTGACACCGGGCAGAAATTCACACCTCTTTCCTACCTGGCCTGTTCATACTTGGAGGGGAACCCCAGGCCCACGAGCATTCTTTTTAGGTTAGGAGATGCTGTTGAAAGTGTGAAATCCCATTGGCTGAAATGTTTCCAAAACAGTATAGGGGTCCATCCCCCTGACATATTATCATCCTGCTTGGAGGCAGAAGGCCGGCTGAGATAACCCTAGGAGAGGTCTTCTACCAGCCACTATCTATACTTCACCCAAGCAGAGAAGAAAATTAGATTTTAAATTCTTGAATCTGTTCCATCAAGTCCTCCGCTAGACTGTAAGCTGCATAAAGGCAGAGGCTCTGCCTTCCATGTCCACTGTTTTATCCCCAGTGCTTAGAGAGTGCCCAGCACATAGTAGGCCTTCAATAAATATTTAATAAGTTAAAGAATTAATTCCGAGTTATCTTTTTAACTCTCAAAAACCTTCCTTATCTGACCTGTACCTTTCCTCTCCCAGAGCTGATGATTTCACCCTCTCTTGCCTCCTTTGTAAATTCATTTCAACCTCTAGTTTCTCTTTTACTAGCATTTCCAACCCAACCCTTCCATTGGCCCCTTTCCACCTGCCTACGGACTCTCCCAGATCTCCTGAGGCTAAAACACAACTCTGCTTGCCGCCCTTGCTCTGGGGCACTAGCCCAGTCTCTTTCTATTTCCATTGACCCTCTTGGCCAGTCTATACCCGTTGCCTCACTCCATGAGCAAATGCCAAACTGCTGCTCTAACTCTGTATGCCCTGACTCCTTTCATTCTGCCTCCTGCTCCCACCAGTCTTCTAAAATGACTCTTAGGGAGGTCATCAATAATCTTTATTCACTAAATCCAATAGTTCAACTTCAACCTTCCCCTTCCCTCTTTTCTGCAGCTCTTGATATTTTTATCACCTTGAAACTCTGTCCCCAGATCTCTTGTCTCCACAGAGCTCCTAAATCCTCTATTTTGACTACCAAATTCCTAAGCATGCTAGTTATAATTCATATGTGTGCCATCTTCTATTCTCCAGACACAATTATTTTTCTATGTACTCCTGGACATCTTCCATGACTTCTATGTTGGAAGTCATTAGAACAGCCCCTGGTAGCTGATAATTAGCAAATAATTAAAAGGGAAACTATCTCAGACAGAGCCTTTGCAGCAACTCTAAGGATGTTCTCACCTTTTGTCTTAGAACCTAGTTCACACTGTCATAACTTCACTCTACTTTAATGGGTTGATAAGCAAGCAATAGGGGAAATACCCAGTCTCGGATCTATCTCATCCCTGCTGGTAGACCTTGGACAAGTTTCTTAACATCTCTGACTCTCAGTTTTCTTATGTTAAATGAGGCTAATCCTGCTGACTCTGTGGCTTGTTGTGTGGCTTAAATTATTTCACATAGTATATGGCACATAGTAGGTGATCAATAAGTGGTAGCTATTTGATAATGACAATGATGATTATGAATGACTCTCAAATCTCCATTCCTAGCCTAATCCTGAATTTCGAACAGTCTATAAATCAGGGGTTCCCCCATCCACCTATGCAAAGTCATTGACTTTCTCTATCTCCCCCAAACCAGCTCTTGATGACTTCCTTATTTGCCTAACAGCATCTTGGCTGTATTGCCATCTAGTCTGAGAACCTTTCGTTTGTCTTTGGGTCCTCCTTTGCCCCATCCTCTACATATGCCAGCCTCAAAATCCTATAGCCGCCCCCACCCCAATCTACTTCCCAGTCTCTACTACACAAAGTCCATGAACACAACTGCTCGACTCTGCTCCTCCCCTAGCCCATGCTGGGCTCTCTTGCTTTGAGTATTTGCTCAGCCTGCAGTGTCCTCCTCACCCTCTACTTCCACTCTTGTCCCCTTCCCCCTAAGTAAAAGTTGTCTCCTTTCTTCAAGATCTGTCTCAACTGTGCCTCGTCCACGAAGCCTTCTCAGTCCCCCAACCAAACAGGGTCTCCCTGCCTTGGGCCCCCTCTTGGGGAATATTGTTTCATACTCCGCTTTGACACTCAGTTTTCTCCACTAATCTCTGTGATATTTATCTAAACCCTTCTTCGCTCCCCCAAGACTCCAACAGAGCATACGTTATTCGAGGCCTCAGATATGTCTTAGTCATCCTCTGATCCATGTATAGCACCCAGCACAAAGCCTGGCACAGGGCTATTGCTCACAGTGGTATTTGAATTCAGTTGTTAGATCTTCTCCATTTGTTCCAATGCATTTAATGCAACCATGTCTTGTATATTCCAGCCTCGTGCCTGCTACACTGCCAGCCTGCA